CTTCATGTCTCACTATGCCTTCAACTAGCAGGCGTAAGACAATGTGACTTTCGGCAGGGCAGTCCTGCAGTCAGCAACTACATGAACTTCGACCTCTCCTCAATGGAAACTTCTGGTGAGTCACATATTGGAATGCACATGAGCAATCATGCAATAAAAACTCATAACTGCTGGTCTTCGAGATGTCTTGCTTTTGTCCATAATAAATTCCACCCACCTCCCTTCTGTCAGAATACTTTGGTAAGGAAGAACTGCAGCGGCGGGGTGGCAGTGTCCTATGAAGGCGCTGTTCCAGGGGACTCCACAGCTGACCCGACTGGGAAAACTTTCTGACAATTGTGCATGTGGTGTGCACATTCACCCATGGAATAGACATGAGCAGTTATAAGAGGCTGGTAACCATCTTAAGATGTGCATGATTCTGTTTGAGCTTTTAAAGTGACATGTAGTTTTGACTTAGATGGAAAGCATGTGATGGAAAATTCACTATGTCAAATTGCATAGTTGCAAAATTTTAGTGGTTAGGGTTGGGAGAGGTGACAGTTGCATCCGGACCTTCCCTGGGAACTCATGTTGTGCCCTGAGCATAGAAAACAAACCACGTAGTCTATTTTGCTTCTCCAATTTGTTCTTATTCTATCACATAGAAGCTTCGGGATTGAATCTGCAGCAATGCCCATTTGATGCTCGGCTACAAATTGGGAGGGTGGTCGGGAGGGAAGAGGGTTAAAAAAGAAGCATTAGCCTTGCAAAACTGTTATAAAAGATGGCTAACTGAGGCCCAAACCCTGCTCCCTACCCCATGACACCACTGATGCACTTGACTGTTGACGCAACCTGGATAAGTAGAATTTTGCAAGGCTAATGAAAGGAGCTGAAGGGTCAAAGATAATTCTGTAAACTGCAACCATGGGGCTGTTTGGGTTATGGGCTTTCATGGTCACAGCTAGTATGTGTATTGTGCAAGCCAGAAGGTCACTTGATACTTTCTGGGGGTGGAAAACGTGTTTTAAAAGTCAAACAATGAATGTTGTGCTGGTGGTTTAAGAGGATCTTTCTTATCCATCTCTGAGCCTGAAGTATCAGTGATGATGCAAACTTCAGTGCTTTGTCTGGAACCTTGTTGTGACCGTGCTGCTTTTACTTACTTAGCATTATAGTAACACCTACACTATTTCCTACCAAGCCCTGGGCCCCATGGTGCTAAGCATTAAAAGATATACCTGACCCCAATTGCTTAGGCTGTGTCCAGACTCGGGGGTTTTTTCGAAAAAAGTAGCCTTTTTTCGAAAAAACTTCCCCTGCGTCCAGACTCAAGCCGCGTTCTTTCGAAATTAATTCGAAAGAACGCGGCTTTTCTTTCGATGGCGGTAAACCTCAATTTACGAGGAAGAACGCCTTCTTTCGAAAGTTCCTCTTTCGAAAGAAGGCGTTCTTCAATGTAAATAGGGCTTCTTCGAAAGAGAGCATCCAGACTCACTGGATGCTTTCTTTCGAAAAAGCAAGCCACTTTTTCGAAATTTCTCCGTGCAGTCTAGACGCTCTCTTTCGAAAGAGCCTCTTTCGAAAGAGGCTTGCAGTCTAGACATAGCCTTACAGTCTAGACAGACAGTAAGTGATAATGGAAACCAAAGCACAGAGAAGTGAATTAACCTGCTCAAACTCGTGTGTCAGAGTAGTGGTAGTACTGGGATTAGAACCTGCCTCTTCCAAGTCCCAGTTCAGTGCCTTTTACACCATGCTTGTTACCCAAACAGTGATTTGTGGGAAAAGTCTAGGTGGGTCACCTTACTCCTCACCCTGAATGTTCACTTCCACTGGGATGAGGCAGCAGTGTATCCAATCCTGTAAGGATAATAATACAAAAATCTGTCAATGTGGATCTCTGTGGCTCATTTTTGCCAATGCAGATAGAAATGACAGCTCTCTATTCATTCCCTGCTCTTTAAGGGCCCAGCTCTATTAGGTGTAGAAGGATGTTCAGCGTTTTGATTCCATAGGCCATCTGTCATTGTGTATGTCTGTAAAGACTCAAATGCTCAATTGTGAAGTTGGAGCACTCATGCAACTTGTAAAGATTACTTGCTGACAATGTGTGAGAAGTTAGAAAACCAGCATTTTGTTGTGTGCATGTTTAGTATCCTATAGACGGAGCATGGCCTGCTGGCATCTGGGGCAATGTTAAGGTAATTTGGGGGGACTCTTTTGAAAAGTGCAACCTTTACTGTTGTATGGGTTGCTAATTCTTGTTTGGAGGGGAAAAAAATAGAACCAAGCAATAGTTCTGTGCCTGCAATCTGAATTTCACCTTATCAAAGCTTTCTGTGTAGGAATACACTATAGTACATGGTCAGCCACTAAACTATGAAACAAGGCCATATATTGTATATTAAATTGCAACAAAGTTTTAGACTGGACATTAGGAAAAACTTCCTATCCTAGTGGTTAGCCACTGGAATGAATTGCTTAGGGAGGTTGTCTAATCAATTCTCAAAAACCTCCAGTGATGGAAATTCTATAAACTCCTGAGGGGGATAGATTGGGGTGGGCAGTAAAACAGTGGTGGTTAACCCTTGATGGGTTGCTGCTGTTGTATTTACCTACCCTTCTAACACAGCTTTCTACAGATTCCATTGGCAGGGAACAGTGATCTGCAGCCAATGGGCACTGCAATTGCCCCTACCTGCAGAGCCACAGGTAAATATAGTAGCAGTGGATCTCCAGGTGCTAAACCTGGGAGACCGGTCCTGGTCTGCAGGCTGGTATTTACCCACCCCTGGTCTTGATGGTGCTTGGTCCTGTCATAAGTGCATAACTGGACTTGGGGACTTCTCAAGGTTCCTTTCAGTTCTGTGATTCTATGATTGTATATACAGGTCAGTGAGACTTGATAATTATTGTGTGAGAAACACCCCTGGAATTTCCTGACTTTTGTGGGTTGACAGTCGCTTAATATACACTGAGTTGCTTAATGTTTGTGGCTTTGCATAATACTTGTTATAAAACAGATCTAGCTGGGGCTAGAATTGACCATCTCGTTTCTCTAGATAAGTCTGTACTTCTTCCCACCACTGTTTAATTTCTTAGAATATTTTATGGTTATCTCACACTTTTTAATAAACAGAGTTGATTATAATGGTCACACAACCAATAGTGTAAACTGCTTAGATTATGCAAGTCATGATTACCCATTCCAAGAAATGAAATATCAGTCACGCAGCCTTGGGTTGTTCTGAGGAAATGAGAACTGAAAAAGTTGAAAGTGACAAATTTAGTAAACTGTTATAGTGATCCCTATAGTTCTGAGTGGGCAGCCTTTTCCCTTTATCTTCAGGGTCAGTGTGTTGTGGGCTACTTACCCCCTGATGGAGTTCAGCACTTGCCCAGCTGAAGTCCACCACATTTGGATTCAGTGTACAATGTGACAGAGGTTGAGCTCAGCTGGAAGAAAAAGTGTGATGAGGTAGAAAACTATAGAGAAGGGTGTTGGCAAGAGTACAAAGAATCTCCCTGCTATGAGTTTTGTGAGCGCTTTGAAAAGGTACAGTGTGGAAACAAACAGGCTTGGTCATAATTAAGCCGTCAAATAGTAGCCGCTGCCGTAGCTGTATTAATGCCTTCACTATTGTTTGCCATAATGGCTTTTGTCACGCACTCTACTGCCTGTGGCTGTGGCTGATTCATTCATAAGGTGCCACTAGTGTGAATTACGTTGGCTCACAGTCAGCTCAGGGTGTCTCCGTCCTGCCCTACCCAGCTTTTAGCCAAATCCACCATTACCGGGCCGCGAGAAGTTGGACGCATTTTATGAACTCAACTCCCCAGCCAGCCAAGAGCCAGGATCAATCTCCTGGCGCGGGGAGAGCGAAGGAGCGAACACCTGCGAGTTAGGTGCCACTAGTGTGAATTACGTTGGCTCACAGTCAGCTCAGGGTGTCTCCGTCCTGCCCTACCCAGCTTTTAGCCAAATCCACCATTACCGGGCCGCGAGAAGTTGGACGCATTTTATGAACTCAACTCCCCAGCCAGCCAAGAGCCAGGATCAATCTCCTGGCGCGGGGAGAGCGAAGGAGCGAACACCTGCGAGTTTGGGTTGGTTGCTGGATCGCTCCGCTCCCCTGAGGCCGGGCAGGG